AATTAACAGTTTTGCACTGTAGCATTTTTACAGTATTTTACTGTTGAAATCACAGTTATTTTTTACAGTTTTATTCTTTCCTGATCCTCACACGAAGAGTCAAACAGAAAGCCATTTAAAAACTTTTTTGCAGCAAAAATACACTCAATCCATTCGCTTGTCTATCTTGTGTGTTTCTAACTTGCTGGATAATAGATATTGACATATAAAAACTCAAACGAGTGATGAAACATTAAATCTGTCACCACATGACCCAACCAAAAAAACAAACTGTACCGTGTTATTAAGAGTTCAGATGTTCATCAAGCGCCAGATGAAATCATCTCGCTGGAATCCAATCAGTCAGGGGAATAAGACAGGGCTGAAAGAGCGCAATCAAGAGCTTAACGTTTGCTACTGTTTTTTGGCCGTCGGTTGGAGAAAGCATGAGTTCAGCTTGATTGCGAGTCATGAAAACTTGTCACTTCGTTCACAACACATGAAAGACGGGTCAAGATGTTGAACTCAAAGCAAAAAAGATTTCCTGAACCCGGCATGTCATAACAAGGAAACGCAACAGCAAAATTTACCTCGGATATTTTTAGGTCAGAATGAAATGTTACCGCTTTTTTTAGAGCACAATTTACTTTTTTAATCCAGACTTAATCCAGAAGTGTGGCATCATAATAACAAGGCCTCGGGAAAATGACCTCATTGACTGCTTTAAGTAAGCGAGCTAATTAAATTACAGATCTACAGTTATGAAGTTATGTGAAGGTCTAACAGGTTGATAATTAATTTGCTACAAATGAGAGAACTAGCACGTCTATACGTCTGCTATTAGGATAATTATACAGAACAAATATTTACAGGCTTCTTGACGGCGCACAGTGTCAGGGGATAGACGGATTAGAATTGAGTGATACGTTATAGATTTTGAAGAAAGAACAGGGAGGGAGACAGAGTTAAAGAGATGAGCCAGAAGGGATGTCATGCCTAGACGTGTTGCATTGACAACAATGAGATCATCCTGATTTGTGTGCAAGTGTGAGTACATGCATGGTTGTGCCTTTGTGTGTGTGTGTGTGTGTGGAAAAATGTCCTGTCCTTCCATGTTGCTCATAAAAATGTACATGTTTTGTACAGACGTATGCGGGTCTGCCTCATGGCATTACGAGCCAAGTTAAAGTGGTGTTATCTGCATGTAAGCTCTGCTCCGTCTTAATGAAACTGACATCTCTGTCATAGTCACATATTCAGAGATTCATTCTCCAGAACCATGTTGGCATATTTTTGTAGGCCTTGACCCAGAAACGAATTAGCATTTTAGCACTTCCCCTTCCACATTAGTCATTGGATTTTTTTTTTAATGGGTTTATGGTTAAAAGCCTGAAATAAGTTCTGTGCACAAGCACGTTATATTCTTATTTTTCCCTATCACATATTTTAGTAACCATCACAAATTAGGTATAATGTTGGGTTGTTTTAACCTAATTTTGGGTCAAATATGGACAAACCCAGCAGTTGGATTAAAAATGCAATTCATAAATTTAACCCAACTGCTGGGTTTGTCAATATTTGACCCAAAATTGGGTTAAAACAACCCAGCATTTTTTTTTACTCTAAAAATGCTGGGCTGTTTTAGCTCAATTTTGGGTCAAATATGGACAAACTCAAACATTGGGTTACAAATGTAATTTAAAAATGTAACCCAATGGCTTTGGTTTGTCCGTATTTGACCCAAATATTTGAGAGTGTAGTAGACTAAAACTTTTGTGATACCAACTTTAAATTTGGAACACAACTTGGTTAGACATATACGGCTTTTTTCTTCTCTAGCAATTTTAGAGTCCAAATTATTTTTGTAAAATATATATTTTGTATAACAGAAAATGTCAAGCCGATCTTACAACAATTTGTATGTGTTTTACGAGGTGGATAATTCGTATGAATTTGTTTAATTGACCTAACCCTGACCCTAAACCCACCCATCACTGGGGTTTAGACAAATCGTACGAATTATCCACCTCGCAAAATATGTACGAAGTGGTTCATTACATTTCCTATGCAGTTTTAATAAACTTCTATAACTTTTTGTTATACTTTAAGCTACTGTAATGCTTTAGCCTATAGCCCGCAAAGCACTGCGTAAGTAAAACGATTTTACATCGTAACTTTCTATAGTGTACCTATAAAGTATGTACGTGTCGGTATAAGGGAAAACAACCAGGAAAATGTGTAAATTATATGAATATGTTTTTTTTAGAAGTAAAGGGTACTTATTCTTCTATTATGGCAACAATCTTATGTTTGGAGAAATTTAGCGAGAACATACACTGTGCGCTTTATTGTAATATAGTGTACTAATACATATAGCCTAGGCTTTTTTAAATGATGGGTATGTAAATATTAGTGCATTTATACACTCTTTTTTATATACACTCTAAAAATGCTGGGTTGTTTCAACCCAAATTTGGTTCAAATATGGACAAACCCAAATGTTGGGTTAAAAATGTAATTAAAAAAAATGTACAGTTGAAAGTGAAAGTTGAAGTATTTTAAAATACATTTATAAACCAACATTTGAGTTTGTCCACATTTGACCCAAATTTGGGTTGAAACAACCCAGTATTGTTTAGAGTGTATCAAAAGAGCAGCTGTTTTAGTTTGGGCTTCCCTGTTTGCAAAATCTATAATAATACTTCTAATAATATAACAATATAAATAGAGATCAGCCTAAGGTCTGTATTCCAGAGAATTCATGAATTGCAACCATTTATGTTCATAAACTCTAACAATGCTGGGTTGATTTAACCCAAATTTGGGTCAATTATGGACAAACCTAAACGTTTGGTTGAAAATGTAATTTAAAAATTTAACCCAAAAGCTGGTTTGTCCATATTTGACCCAAATTTGGGTTAAATCAACCCAGCATTTTTAAGAGTGTATCAATGCCAATATTTTCAGTAAACAACTAAACCTTAATGCCTTTAAATGCTTCCTTCAGGTCATATTCAATAAGGAAATGATATTTGATCAAATATTTGGCTTTACCACAGTTATCTCTTTATCTAAGCAATCAAACAATCAGATAAGACTGTATAGTGACATATGAGCTTGTGTGAATTAAGATTGTGACCAATTTGCCTGTGAAAGGGACATGACGTGATGTATTCATTTCACAAAACGCTCTTCCATTCTCACTTGATGACACACGCTTTATTTCTCTTGGAGGTATTACACTCTCTCTCTCTCAGCTCAGACGGGTCCCGTGTTGCATTTTATGGACTCTGGCGTCTCGCTGATGTCTGACTAAAAAAAGAGAAGGAGACAAAGAGAGAGAGCGTTGGAAGTATTACAACTGCAAGGGAGGGCGTGCAGATGCTGCCCCAGTTAAAAATTATTACCAGAGTGCATTGTGTCGGTGACAGCGTGTATTATTATCGGTGTAAAACAGCAGTTACATCACCACAGCAGACCTCCAGTTCAGGCACCTTACATCTCACAGGGCCAAACTCTTAACACTTACCTACACCATTAGTGCCGGCGGGTCACGCTGGCAAGAACGTTTCGGCTGGCTCACTTTAGCAGCGTGTACAGTACATGTTTAAGATCCGATCAGAACAGAACTGTTCCTCTTAAACTCACTTTAAAATAAGGTTTCCTATGTTAACATTAGGTATTTGTTCAGATGAATTTAAATTTTCAATCAAAATTTATATCTGTTAATAATAATTAATGGCCCTGAGCTAGCATGAACTAAACCATGAACGGTTGTATTACTCTTTTTTTTCTTTTTTTTTAATGGTATTTTTATGGCTTTTGAATAAAGATTGTTGTTGATTTTGAAGATTTGATGATTGTGTGCAGATCTTTAATGTTTCAGCCGTGGAATAAAAACGGTAATTGTGACTCTTTATCTCACATTTCTTCCAGACTTTTTTTCTTCAAAAAGTCTGAATTGCAATATTTTTTCTTCAAAAAAAGTCAAAATTGTGAGTTTGTCTGAGATAAAGAGTTGCAATTACCTTTATAAATTGCAAGTTTATATCTCACAATTCTGCATTTTTTCTTTTTTTGTGAGTTATAAATTCAGAAGTCTGAACTGCAAGATATAAACGGGCAATTCTGAGACAAAATTCCAAATTGTGAGCTATAATCTGGGAATTGTGAGTAATAAATTTCAAATCACAAGATATAAAGCATTTCAAGTTATTGTGAGTTAAAAAAAGCTGCGATTACATGTTTTAAATTGCAGTCTATATCTGATAATCCTAACTTTTTCCTAAAAGTTAGGAAACTTTTTATTGAAATTCTGAGTTATAAACTCACAATTATGAGAAAAAAGTCAAAATTCTGAGTTATAAACTCACAATTATGAGAAAAGTCAAAATTCTGAGTTAAAAAAAAAACACAATTATGAGAAAAAAGTCAAAACTCTGAGTTATAAACTCACAATTATGAGAAAATTCTGAGTTATAAACTCACAATTCTGAGAAAAATGTCAAAATTCTGAGTTACAAACTCTGAATTGTGAGAAATAAAGACAGAATTCCTAGTTATGAACTCATTGTTGTAAGTAAATTAAGATATAAACTCTTTTTTTAAACTGAATTGTGACAAATTAAGTCAGAATTGTGAGATATAAACTCAGAATTACAGAGTATTATATATATATATATATATATATATATATAAATTCAGATTTGTGAGATATAAACTCAGAACTGCAAGATATAAAGAATTGTGAGTTATTGCGAGTGAAAAAAGTCAGCAATAAATTTTTTTTTAATCCGTGGTGGTTTTAGGCCTTTTTTATTATTATTGATTTTGAGGCCTGCGCACCAGAGGAATGTCAAACCGGCCGCGGCCATCGACATTGCTTTTGAGTCACACATTATAATCAATGTGACCTTATTATAAAGAGTTGCCTCTTCATGAATGCTTTCCGCCAACAACGTCTGTGGATATGTGTGTGCTATCCGTGCTAACGCTAGCGTTCTGTTGACTGTGTTCTCCAGGCTCTACCCCTCTGAGGTCGTACCCTCTCCTCTCCGTGATCACACACCAGCAGCCTCAGTCTCCACACCTGCCCCTTCTCTCACCCCAACACCCGGTCAGCTCAGAGCCCGCGCACAGCGAGACCCCCGTCAGCATCAGCAGCGAGTCCGAGACGGAGCACTCCGCCCCGCGGCTCAAGAAACCCCGCCGCAGCCGGACCATCTTCACGGAGCTGCAGCTCCTGGGCCTGGAGAAGAAGTTCCAGAAGCAGAAATACCTCTCCACTCCCGACAGGTCCGTGGCTGCTCTCAGAGGCATTTTACACTATACATTTTACAGTTACAGTTTACGTCTGTCGAAGTTATACTGAAAAAAGGGAAAATATATATTTTTTTATTTCTGCAAATTGTTTTGAAGATGCCAAATTGGCATCTTATATAATGGAATTATATATTATGAATGATATTATATAACGGAAAACATTTAATTTGGCAATGTGCAATGATGAATCTTGGGATTTGATTTCATTTTGAAATTATTCATAGTTCATATATAACGCCTGAAATCCTGAAGCAAATCACTGTCAGCCTAACTATTACATTGCTCAGTGTTGTAGTTAAGACATTTCAGCAAAAGAAGCCTTTAAAAGAAACACTACCCCATTCAAGACAACAGGGACACAGGCCAAGAAAAGCAAACAAAAATGTATTACATTGATTTCATGCCAATCATTTAAAGCACACGCAGGTGTATTTAAAAAACTTTGGGGCTTTGTACAATGAGATGAGGTAATTTACGTGTCGTTGGTCTTCTCGCATGGGACAGGTTTTTTTTTTTTTTTTTTTTTTTACCGGCAATAACACATTTTCCATTTCAGTTTGGCTCTGCGTTTAGATTTGGCTGGAGTGTGTTTCCATTAGAGCCCAAAGGGTGTATTTGGGTAAAAATCCCACAAAATCAGTTCTGTCCCACCTACAAGGATTCTGAGCGTGTCTGCCACACACACACACACACACACACATTTCTCTGCATTTTTGGTCAGACACAGCCTAAGGATGGATTCTGTCCTTCAGCAACATATGAGCTGACAGACATAATTGTCTGAAAACTGTCAGCACCACCAGACGTGCAAAGTTAAGACAGCCGCCGCAAGACTATCTCTAACTTATTCACTTTTGTTTTACAGATAGCTCTCTTTTCTTTCATAAAACTCAAAGATAAACTTGACTCAAAGTATTGTTAGAAGTTATTAAAATGAGTTAAAAAAGTAAAAAAAGTACACAAACACAGTAGTGAACAAAAGTGTTGTCCGGTGGGGATAAAAAAAATAAAAAAAAGATCCTACAACTTCGATTAAACAATAAAAATTTACTGTAAAAAAAAATGTTTTACTGTACACTGTAAAAAAATATTGTTGGTTTAACTTAAAAACATGAAGTAACCTGGTTGCCTAAAAAACTTTAAGTTCATTGAAATTGAAAAATTGAGTTAATACAATGAAGGAGATTGATTTAATCATCAGAAACTCGAAATATTATGTTTTCTGAAGTTGATTTGACAGAAGAAAAACAATTATGATAAGAAATCATATTTTTTTTACAGTTTAAGTTCATTGAAATTGAAAAATTGAGTTAATACAATGAAGGAGATTGATTTAATCATCAGAAACTCAAAATATTATGTTTTCTAAAGTTGATTTGACAGAAGAAAAAAAGTTATGATAAGAAATCACGATTTTTTCAGTGTATAAGTGTTACAAGAACAAACCATTAAACTTTATTAAGGTATTTATCTGACAAAATTGTCTGGCAAAAATAAACCATAAAAAAATAAAAAGCTCAGAAAAAAACAGAGAAAATTCTAGGTTGGCAATTTTATTGTGAGGACAGGAAAAAGCATATGAATAAATAATCAGGATCAATCATGCATTTTATCATATGCTATTATTATTAGTGGTATATCACTCTGATTTGTCTAATATTGGAATAAAACAATATTAGGGTTGTTTTTAAATATTATGTTTAATAAATTGTGTTTTATATATATATATATATATATATATATATATATATATATATAATCATCCAAATCAAACTGATAAATTATAATAATTGTAATATGTAATAAAAATAAAACTATGCATGACTGATTCCGATATACCAATTTATTATTCATTCTTAATTTAGAATAATAAGTAATTTCCTCAGAAATGCAGAGTTGTCCGGTTCTACGCTGGCCTGATAGAGGTGTGTTTTGTCGGGTCCTGTCGCTGTGGGGTCAGTTGGGAAACTCTTTCTGAGGAGGTTTTGGCTCAAGGCCGCTTAGTTCACCGCTAGGTCATGGTTAGCCTCTGCTCTATCACTCTGTCACACACTTCGCCCCAGGAACGAACAAATTCATTCATGGCTGAATGAAAAACAAGTGAGGGGAATTCCTCATCTTCTGGCGAGTTTGAGGAACGAGCCTCAGAACGCCTCAGGTTTGTGCTGATCAATCTCAAAGACGACCCGGAGGTGTTGTGCTGTTTTTGGCTTGTCCGCCTAGGCCACACAATCAGAACATGAAAGCAATGAAAAACATGTCGCAATATGGAACATAATGATTTATATCATGAAGTTTTAATGTTTTTTTTTATGAGGCAGAGATGATTATAATCATCTTTATCATCATTATGAATAAATGTCAGAACCCAAACTGAGCTTAAATTAGACTCATGGTTGCAAGGAGTGTGTTTGGCATTGGAATGCAGCGTGTGTGTGTGTGTGTGTGTGTGTGTGGTTTCTCTCTGAAGAATAATAAGCACAAACACAGAGGTGCTTTTCTTACCACCAATTACAGCACAGAGAGCAGCCACAAATCACAGAGACTGCTCCTTTAAAAATAAAAAAAACCATAAGTAGTCATACTAAACATACCTCAGTGTGATATGACACATGTGACACTTAGCAAATAAATAATACATTTTTCATGTTTTACTCTGTCGGTTTGCAAGACAATTAAGGGATGTTTTCTTTTAGCGTCAATAAAAACACCTCAACTACTTTATGAATAGAAAATACGTGGTGGAAAATATAATTTGTGGAATAGTTTTAATTTGATATTTTATGAAATTATTTGTGCAAAATTATAATTGTTAAAATATATATACAGTATATAGCCTATATATATATACTATACTAATTGTGTGAGGACTGGGATGAGAGAGTCTCACTATAATAAAATGTATAATACAAATAAATACAAAATATTTTATTAAATTAAAAGAGACCACAAAATTAAAGACATAAAGCTGTTTAGGAAATTGATACCCAGATTCAAAAGACATATAATATATTACAGTAGCTGCGATTGACCTGTAAAAATTCGAGTATTCTTCAGTAACGTAATAAATTAGATGTAATACAATACTGTTAGCATCTTTACCATAGTACTGCCATTTCAGGACATTTAACATTTCGTTTTTTCACGGGAAAACTTGTCTCATGCACAACTTAGAAGAAAAAGGAGATAATAAACAGATAAAGAGGAAAGAGCGAAGTCAAGGGCGTTTGAGAGCGAGTGTTAATCTGCTCATTTCCAGAAGATCCCTGCACGTCGTGTGACCCTCAGACTTTGAATGGAGATGTAGCAGAAATCTGTGCACTTGTTTGATATGTGGCTCTCTCGTTCCCTCAAATCCCAATGTCCCCTCATTGCCTATCAAGTTCTAGCAGACCGATCGCTGCATTAGTCATGCGCCGCCTGCCCGAGTGGCCCGAAAAGATCTACTATTCGGGCACGTCAGTCGCTCCATGACTGGATTACCTTGTCCTTGTCCTGTACAGATAAAACGTGATGGCATTCCACGGGAGGTCTGCGATTACATTCGGCCTGGGAAGACTCTTCTGTTCAGAGCTTGGCAGAACTTTCTGATATGTCATGCCAGCTTTGGGAATTTTGCAGTGATTAGATATACATCTGCACTCTAGATGGCCACCCACTGGCTTTTATGTGTAGGACAACAGGTGACTTTGGGATTTCGGTCGATTAATTCCAGTTCTGAAGTTTCCCGCCTTCTTTGCAGTCGTTCTTGTGACTTGCTTGAGGGTTTCACATGCAGGTCAGAACGCCACATCTACTTTAGGTTCAAAATACTCACAAGTGTCTGATTTGGAATCACACACACATATAAGCTATAGGTATAATACATTATTCATTTATTAAAGGGATACTTCACCTCTGGAAAGATTAATGTGTATTTAAAATGAGTCATTTATGTTGAATTTGGAGCTTTCTAGACTGAGAAAAGCCAGAAAATGTATTTTTGGCTTATGTGGATGAAAGACAACGACTCCCAGAATGCACTTGCTTCGCTGCCCTAGGAGGCCACGCCTACCAGTAACAGAGCACAGTAGTTAAACAACAAGTCTAGGCTACTAGTGAGTCTCCATGATGAGTCTACCCGAAAAAGTGTTTCAAGATCACCCAAAATGTCCGCGATTTGGCTTTTGCGTTCTACAGTCGCCATTCATCATGTTAATTGTGGCGTTCATGTAAACACTACATTCAGATACACCAACCGGAAAAGAATTCAGTTAGATTGAAACAAAAGCTGTGCATGTAAACAATGCATGGCGACCGCAGAAAACATAAGCTGAATCCCTGATTTTTTTTTTTCTAGGACAGCGAAATTGTAAAAATCGCTCGAAGGGGGTCTCGCCCAGGGCTTAATTCAAAGTACACTGCACTCTAAAAAATGCTGGGTTGTTTTAACCCAATTTTGGGTAAAATATGGACAAACCCCGCCATTGGGTAAAAAATTAAATTTAAAAATGTAACCCAATGGCTGGGTTTGTCCATATTTTACCCAAAATTGGGTTAAAACAACCCGGCATTTTTTAGAGTGTGTAAAAAAATATTACATAACATATTTTCTTTTGTCAAATCAACTTTATAATAATTTATTTAGTTGAGATAACTTATTATTTTGAGTTTCTGATGATTAAATGAATCCCTTCATTGTATTAACTCACTTTTTCCAGTTTAATCAACTTAAAATTTTAAGGCAACCCAGGTTACTTATAAACCAACAATATTTTTTTTACAGCGTTCGTAATCACATTTTTTTCTTTTGTCAAATCAACTTAAATCATTTATTTAGTTCAGATAACATAATATTTTGAGTTTCTGATGATTAAATCATTCTCCTTCATTGTATTAACTCACTTTTTCCAGTTCAATCAACTTAAAATTTTAAAGCAACCAGGTTACTTACTTTTTTAAGTTAAACCAGCAATATTTTTTTACAGTGTAGAACCGCCACTGTTGGAATAAATATGTATCTTATAGCATAGTTTCTTACTTTTGGTTTCTTTGACTTTCAGAACAGAATAATAACCTATTTAGGTTTGATTTATGTACTTTCTTTCAACCTGCACTTTGTCTGTGTGTGTGCAGATTGGACCTGGCTCAGTCTCTGGGACTCACTCAGCTCCAGGTGAAGACATGGTACCAGAACAGACGCATGAAATGGAAGAAAATGGTGAGTCGAACGAGCTTACTCATCGCAAGTTCATAGGATTGTCTACTTAGATCGTTAAGATACTGTCATCTTGTATCAACAAAAACATCTGTGTTGAAAATCCACCAAAGCTTTCAGTGTGGAAATGGAAACTCTGAGACATATCATTAAAAATCCATTAGACACTGTTGAGCTGCCCTTCTCAGCACTCAATACGATCAGTGTGTGTAACGGCTACGGCCCCGGGCTGCTCGGTGAGTGTGTGTGGGACAAATGAGCGATGATTTAAAGAACATTACAGGTCTACGTCAGCGCGATCAACCTCTCAAAGCAGGAACAAAAGATCCACAGCGCGAGAAAAACGAGCGTTGAGGGCCAGCCCAAATGGCCATATATCTTCCCTTAATCACTGTAATAACCATCCTCACCTTTGACTAGGCCCACATCTTTCACGTGTGTCTGTTTCTCTAGGTGCTAAAAGGAGGACACGAGGCTCCCACCAAGCCTAAAGGCCGACCCAAGAAGAACTCCATCCCGACCACGGAGGAGATCGAGGCCGAGGAACGGCTGGCGGCCAAACTGGTGGAGGAGGAGAAACATGTGGAGAACAACGAGGTCTTCCAATCTCAACCTCAAGATCTCAGTTCATGCGCTACATCTAGCGAATCAGAAACCCCGGCGCTAGAACAGGCTCCGTCAGAAGAAATGACCACCAGCTAAACACAGCCATGCGGATGCACAACCAAAGACAGCTACTGAAAGACTGAGGCACCAAACAGTATAGGGGTGCTTTAGACACAAACAAAACGTCAAACCAAACCAACCGATTTCACAAAAAAAGATGCTTTTGCTGGTGTTCAATGATGAAACAATCACCAGCGGTTACATCCATCCACCAAGGATCACGGTGGCCCATTTGTTTGCTGATTTTGTCGTCTCATGGAGGCAGTGTCCAAATACTTTCCACTACATGTGGCGATGCAGTGATTGTAACATTGCTTTAAATGTTTCTGTCACACAGCTGCCTTTCTGAAATGTATTTTATAAACCATTTTATAATATGCTGCCAGATCGCACAGACTCACCGGTACAGCGCCTTCTATATGAACAAACAGTAAGTGTTTCTCTCTCTCTCTCCCTGTAAATAGTGCCTGTTTAATTGCGCCTGTAGTTTACAGTGCACCTGTGTACTGTAGCTTGGGATTCTGTGCCAAAACACATATATTTGAATAGCTGAAGTGCCCTTTGAGGTATTTTTTCCTTTTTTTACACATCCATGAAGCTGCTGCCATTAAAAGTTAATAGGACGGGTTAGTATGATGAATACCAGTGTAAACATGTAGAGAGTTCTGGATTTCACGTGAGAAAATGTGGCTCTTTTTAAAGCAGGATTGTCCAGTTTGGGTAAAGATTAGCTTTATCCATTCAACATCTCGATGGATAAAGAATCTGTCAGCTTATACAGAAAAAGAACATAAATTTTGAGAAAACATTAAAGGGAATATTGATTTAAGTAAAGCTTCCAAAGTGCCCACTCTCTTCCAAACGACAATGTGTTTTTCCTTTTCTATTTGCAGAGAAAAGGAGTTTCTTTTGTTCGTTTTATGCGTGACATGCTTCGACTACATTGTATTTCAACCGTATCCTTTCTTCAAATCACTTTTTTTGTGTGTGTGTGTGTATAACCTTTGCACGACCATTTAGTACTATTCTTTGAGGCTGAAACACATGATATATGAACTCCCAGATGGAGCATGCTGGCTATTGTATGCTTCTTCCCATTTCATTCCCTTTGAATGAAATAAAAACAACAAAAATGTTTCCCCCCTCTGTGGTGTGGCGCAGTATGACACCACTAAGTGCAGGCTGGTTTTATTACTGTAAGAAAAACCACTTAATCTGTCAGGGACGCAAAGCAATTAATAAATCAAACTCGAACTAGTAAAAAAAAAAGAACCAAGAAAAACGAAAATCTGCGGGACATGTCGAAGCCCGCGGGAGCTCGGCACATGCCTACATCTGACTGACGGCCCACTAATACATCACAGCCTCTTCTACCTTGCATGTCATAAGCTCTTTCAAACCAATGTTGCCTTTTGCAAAGATTTTATTTGTATAGTTTTTTTTTTCTGTGTTTGGCTAACAACAAATATCGAAAATATATTCCTTCTTTGATATAAAAAAACACTATTTTTCTGGTGTACATACTGAATTGTATTGGGTGACTATACCTTTGTTTTTGGAGGAGAAGACTATATAGATAGATATTTGAGGAGAATCCTTTTTCACCCGAACGTTATGTCATTTTTATTGTGTGTGTGTGTGTGTGTGTGTTTGCATATTTAATAACATTTAATAAAGATGCCATTAATTTTGGAGGTCTGATATGATGATTTCATGTAAAAAAATGTTACTATGAAGCTGTTTTCACTGAGAAATTACTAGTAAATTTCACAAATAATAAAAAATGGCAAGTATCACATTCAATTAAACATGCACATTTGAAGTAGAAATATCCTGTACTAACTGGAACACTTCTTGTGCACTTGTGATCTTGTGGAATGGCCGCCGCGTGCACATATCTGTTAAGTCAACAAGATTTTAGGTTAAGGTTAAGTCCTCATTTTAAGTTTCAGAAGGATGTTCCCTTGGTAGCCAATATACACCCTTAAACTCTGCAGCAGACTTCTACCTGACAGTCTATGGCCCTGACCCAAATGGCACCCTAAACACACACGGTCTTCCTTACGAGTCCGCACTTTTGTGACGTAATGCCACTTTGACTGTTGGGAATAAGCTCGCATCAGTGCGGTCTCAGCAATAGTGTGCATCGAGGGCGCATATCAACTGCAAAGAGGGCGCTAGTGAGCACCCTTCTGAAACCTAATATAACAAATGGGACACCCTATACGGTCTCAATTACTTAATAGACATGTGGTAAGTCCAAAAGATTGCAAGTGCACATGAGGTGTGTCATTTGGGACATGGCCGAAGAGGCTTCACATCATGAAAGTGTGGACGGAGGAAGATAACAAAAACTTATGGTTCCATTTGGGACAGGGCCAAAGTGTTTTCCAATAATCCAAACCGATCTCACAGCAATTCCTACGAATATTACGCCTTCGGCTAATTCGTACAAATTCATACGACCTCACTCATACGAATTAGTAATATTTTTGCTAAATCGTACATATTTTACGAGTTGCCCAATTCGTATGATTTTGTACGAATGACGTACCCCTGACCCCGCCCCTAAACCTAACCATCACGTGGGTTTAGACAAATCTTACGAATACGTACAAATGACGTACCCCTGACCGCGGCCCTAAACCTACCCATCACGTGGGTTTAGACAAATCATACGAATTCATACCAATGTCTTACCCCTAACCGTGGCCATAAACCTACCGATCACGTGGATTTAGACAAATCGTACGAATTCGTATGAATGACGTACCCCTGACCGCGGCCCTAAACCCATTCCCATCACAGGGATTTAGACAAATCGTACGAATTCGTATGAATGACGTACCCCTGACCACGGCTCTAAACCTACCCATCACCTGGGTTTAGACAAATCTTACGAATTCGGACGAATTACGTACCCCTGACCGCGGCCATAAACCTACCCATCACGTGGGTTTAGACAAATCGTATGAATTCGTACGAATGACGTACCCCTGGCCACGGCCCTAAACCTACCGATCACGTGGGTTTAGACAAATCTTACGAATTCGGACGAATTACGTACCCCTGACCGCGGCCATAAACCTACCCATCACGTGGGTTTAGACAAATCGTATGAATTCGTACGAATGACGTACCCCTGACCACGGCCCTAAACCTACCGATCACGTGGGTTTAGACAAATCGTACAAATTCGTACGAATGACGTACCCCTGACCGCGGCCATAAACCTACCGATCACGTGGGTTTAGACAAATCTTACGAATTCATACCAATATCTTACCCCTGACCGTGGCTCTAAACCCATTCCCATCACGTGGGTTTAGACAAATCGTACGAATTCGTATGAATGACGTACCCCTGACCGCGGCCATAAACCTACCGATCACGTGGGTTTAGACATATCGTACGAATTCCTACGAATTACGTACCCCTGACCACGGCCCTAAACCTACCCATCACGTGAGTTTAGACCAATCGTACGAATTCCTACGAATGACGTACCCCTGACCGCGGCCATAAACCTACCCATCACGTGGGTTTAGACAAATCATACGAATGTGTACGAATGATCACTCATACGAATTGGACATGAGATAGCGTTGAATAATTGTTGTTTAATTTACGACTTTAAAAAATCATTTTAAACAGTGAAGTTGAGTGTCAATCAGCTCTCTCATTCAGTAGTAAGTGCACTAGGAGTTGGTCATTGTCAAAATGGTTCCAGTGCAAAGATTTGTGTTTCATCAAAATTCCCAGAATGCAACATAAAAGCCATTTAGCATCATATATACATATGTATATCATTCAAAACAATCCTGCAAACTTTTACATAGGTGCTAAACAGGGATTAAATGCATAGTTCACCCAAAACTAAAATGCTGACACCATTCTCTCACCCTAATGACGTTCCAAACCAAGTCTTCTTTAATCTTCAAACCCAAATGAAGATATTTTAATATTTTCCCATGCATTATTTTTTGTTCTTCGAATGAAAGTCTCAACACTTTCAAATATGCTAAACTGACATTTAAACGTGCGTGCTTGATGTGCAAGAACTAAGTTTTGTTCTTGTGCATCAAGCATAAGTAATATGCTCTACGTATACTGTTCATCGCAGTAGGATAAGTCTATATTTTATAATACCACAGTAATATTTGAACATTTACATCTTAACATCACCATATTTTGTTATCCACAACCTTGCAGTTGTGTTGCAGGCATTATGGCACCAGCGTTGACACTTTATGTATCAGAATCATGTTCACGCCGGTATACAGATTTATATGGAACTAGGGAAATGAAACAAAAAACACAGTGGAAACGGTCGTGTTGTAGAAATTGCTTGCGGCAAAAAGTCTGTGAAAAATGTACTTAGCCGTTTTATAGGCCTGGGTCAACTTCAAGACAATAAAACAGTCAATAAACATGTAATTTACCTGGGTTGTGCCTTAAAAACTGGTAATACATTGATCATTATAATCTGACACAACTTGAATAAGTCACAAATATAAAGAGGAGTGATGATTTGTCCTATTATTTTCGATAAAAAAAAACACATCCTCATATCCTTTTCTTACACAATTATATCTTGAATAAACAAGTTTGACTATTATAGGCTTATCAGTCACTCCACACTTCCTTCACACTGTCCTGTAGCGCACCTCGCTCAAACAGGTTTGTGCCGTCAAGTGCATTTTTGGTAGTTTACAGCACACACTGATGAGAGCTAAGGCAATCACCTTGGGCTGTGTGTGAGCTTGTGCATGTGTGAACATACACACATGTGTGTGTGTGCGAACTAAAGGGGTCGGGGTCAGAGGTAGCTTCAAACCCCGAGGCAGAGGATTACGGCTGACAGGAAGTTGCAGTGGAAATGTCAATGATTGAAGTGTCACTGATTATCACTAAAGAGAGAGACACGCTGTTTGGCTTCAACTTTTCGGGTCATGTAACACAGTCTGAAACATTACTTAACAGGAACTAACAATACAAAAATAGTCCCAAAGCATGTATTCATTTAATTAATATTAATTTAAACATGAACTAAAACGTTATTAAAAAAATCTAAAGTTGTGTCTGTTAATATAAACTAATAATGAATAGTTAAGTAAAATGCTCACTGTTGATGTTAGTTAATGCATTAACTAATGGGAGCTTAATAAAGTGTTACCTCAAAAAGTTTATTAATCAGTTACAATGACTTTTTATAAATGTTTAATAATAATAACATGTTTTTAGTTTAAAGTCTTTGACATTCATATCTACTTGTCTATAAATAAAACAAATATGTTAAATCACATTCAATATGAATTAATATGTAATATATGAAATATAAATGTAATATGGGAACACAAAAATATACTGCAATAAAACCCATTTATATAAAACAACAGGGCTGCAGACAATACATATGTACAATTTTCATATCTTTCATAAACTGTCTTTTTGCGCAACAATCATCAATGGCTTCCATATCTTTAATCAGCCTTTAGCTATGCAAGTATCCATGACTGTTTTAGATAAAAACCCTGTAGATGTTTGCAAGAGATATCTTAAACGCATATAATTCAAAGTAATATTTCATGAAAAAAAAAAAAAAAAAAAAATCTTATTGAACACATTATTTATTCTAAGACAAAACAGCTTAGCATCGGTTCAACCCCTCTTGGACTATATGATTTACTCTCGTGTGTGTGTTTTTGTGTGAGGAGATCACATTAATGATCCTGCAGGTACAGCCATCCCAGACAGAGAAGTCTGCTAAGTGTCTTTTAGCATGGCAGGTCATAGCAAGCCTGTAGCATTCTGGGTAATTGCTGTGTGGTATGGTCAGTTTATGGAAATAGCCCGCAGGTATTGCTCTAATCAGAGAGGCAATCATTTAGTCTCTCGGCCTTCAGGTTCACCGTAAGGTCAGTGGAGTCTGGTGACTCGAGCGACGTCGGTCACATCATGACACATCTATCGCACCTTCACCTGTCAGATTAGCATACTGCTAAGAATGGGAAAAAAAAATAAATACACACGACTCAAGCTAACATCCGTGTGTTTGCCTTACCTGTGACAGGGGAGGTGATTACATACCAAGAGAAAAAACCACAAACTGTCCAGAGGAAAGGATCCACCCTTCTATCGTACGAACAATGACCCTGTTGTCTTCACCTGCAGATGAAAACCTGTCATTATCAAGGGCACATACTTAAACCAACAGCAAACACACTGTTCTGTATCCATAATTCATCATGATGAGTTTCATCACTCTGACAGAGAACGTTTCACAGTGATTACATGTTTTTACAGCAATGCTGTAACCTTCCTCGGATTCTGTAGTCGAACTAAACATCCAACAACGGATGCACTGTAAATAATCTTGTCTGAAACTGGTTTTAATGTACAAGTAATTAAACATTTAATACTTCCCCAGTTGATAGTTTTGTATTACAAGTTATCTAACATGTTATGTTTAAGTATTCATATGTAATTAAATATGCACTAAATTTACAGAACAGAAATCTGCATTCAATAAGTCCAGGTTCTTGTTTCATTTTGTTAACGTGTAAAAGTCAAAAGAGGAGAATTTGGATATCTCTTTTTATCATTCATACCATCAACAGAAAAAATAATCTACCTGGTTTCAAGAACACTGAAATGTGAGCGCAAATGATATATGAACAAACTCTGTAAAAACATTTAGATTATAGATCGAAATAAAACCAAAGTTGAGAAGCAATTTTTGACTCAATGCA